ACATGGTGTCCAAATATTTTTACTGTATTCAATAAGTAAAAATCATAAATTGTAAAAGATTACAGAAAGGCTACTAAATGAATAAGATTTGTTAGATCATCTTACTTATTATAAAACGCAGATTGTGTGTGTGTGTGTGTGTGTGTGTGTGTGTGTGTGTGTGTGTGTGTGTGTGTGTGTGTCTGTAAGTTTATGTATTGGATCGGATTTCCTACATTTTTCAACCGATTTCAACAAAACTTCACAAGACTACGTAAAATTACCTTGCGGTGGTTCTAACAGCACCAAAAATTGGAAAAACACAATTGTTTTTGCAGAAATCAATTTGAAAACACGATTAAGAGGCATTAAGGGGGACAACTCATATCGAGTAATACTTATTATAAAACCCAGGTTTTGTGTGTGTGTGTGTGTGTGTGTGTGTGTGTGTGTGTGTGTGTGTGTGTGTATGTTCGTTTATATATGGGATCGGATTTCCTACATTTTTCAACCGATTTCAACAAAACTTCACTTTTTATTTTTAGTAGGTAGTGTTTCTTATTGTCTTGCACACTTTTTTCTTTATTTTTACATTCAAAATGCTTTTAAAAATTCCATTTACAAGACAATTGTTTATAATAAAATTCTATTCAATCGGTAGACTCATAACGATTGAAAACAATGTTTTTGTTTGAGTTTAGGTTTCACCAATTCGTAAAAATAAATAAATAAATAAAACTAATTAAGACATGCGTGTCCATCAACCTTAAACAATAATCTTTGTCAATTTTATTTTTCAGTCTTTATGATGATCGATACTTGATCTATCACTTACTGTTACATCCCCAGGCAACGCCGGGCTCTACTGCTAGTTGTTATTATTATTCCTTTGATTTCTGGTGTGTACACATTTCGTTCTGGGTCCCGCCCAGAGACCTAAGGTTAGAAATGGCATCATGATATTTTCCACTGACAATTAAAAGAAAATATTTTACATAGATAAAGCCCTTCGTAAGGTGTGGGCTGTACTCGTGAGAACATTATTATTATTTATTTATATACTATTTATTGTTATTTATATATTATTTATATATTTTATTATCATTTATATATTATATTATTATTATTTGGTGAGAGAGCAACATGCCATAAAGTAAGGCTGAGGTACACATCTACGAACCCCATTATATCCTGCATGACACGTAATCTAATAAGGGTGTACCAAGCACATGCATCGCAGCCAAATGAGTGCGAGCTGGTGACAGGTTTTGATAAAAACAGCACATAACATCACAGGTAGAAACACCCTCAGGTCAGACAACCCACTCCGTTCAGATGCTGTGATAAAGGATGTTCCCAAGTATCTATATGAGACTTCCAATTCGCCTTGATTGACTCAACCTGACCATGATGGTCCCACAATATTCCCACTCGGAAACAGATGCACCTTGGATCAAACCCTTAGAGAATTGTACAACTGGTTATGGTCATAAGTGACAAGTATATTTTTATATCTTTACTGGTTTACTCGAGTATCTGTCTATATTTCTGAGATGAGGTATTATGTACACTATTTACATTATTGTCCTCATCTTTGTCGCCATATTTATTACAAAGGTGCGAGTTAGATCCAGTGACAGGACCCAGAGAGTGTGAGTTCAATACCTTGTTAAGGCGGTGGAGTACTTGGAGAGGGAAATTAACAGGAGATAACTCATAACTGACATCCATTAGACATGGAACGTGAAACTAGAACAGTCTACCCCAGCAAGCGAAATAAAGGGTTCAGTTCGATATTCCAACCACCTGAAGAAGGCCGGAGCGTACAACGGCCGAAACGTTGTAATAAATATGGCGACAAAGATGAGGACAATAGTCTGAATAATGTAAATAATGGTTTACTTGAGTCGTCAAATCATGACGGAATCTATGAATTATTTTGCAATTGCGTTGGTCTTATAAAATATCAAAACTTGGCGTTGATCTGCTTTTTCTTGTTTAGGTTCAATACTTGGTAAAATGGCTTAAAAATAACACTTGACTCTTTACCTCATTCCATGCTATCAGTGAAAAAATGACATTGCATATAACTAATTCTAATATTTGTACACACTTAGAAATAAATTACTTTTAAAATGTATATATCTAGAGAACTGTTATAACCTAGGAAGGGTGACTGAATGAGGAATAACCAACACGGGGGTTGGAAATGAAATGGAATTTATAACATCAACAAAATACAATATTCGCCAGCCTTCAGGTTCAGCCTTCTTCAGATGATATATAGGGTGCGATTGATAAAGTACGCAAAAATGAAAATAACATTGACATCTAATTTTAACAGATATATTTACCAAAATTACACAAAAAGATCTCGAAATACTAAAGAGTAAATTTATTCAATAAAATCGCCATTGCCTTCAACCGCGGCATCCTTCGGAATCTCCTGGGCGGTCTCCATGTTTAAGATGGTGAATGCTGGCATAATCCTTGCCTTCAGTTCATCTTTGGTGTTACAACTACGCCCCACACATAATAATCAAGGGGATAATAATAATCGAGTTTGTTGGTCCCTCGTTCATCTGGGGTTGCGTTCTGGGGAGTTAGTTGGCCAGATGTAATGGGTGATGTGCTTGTAGAAATTGTCTGACAGCCATGACTGGGTTCTCCTGATTGTGTAACTTGGTGAAGAGTCCTGTTGCCAAACATATGGTTTTCCAGCAGTCACCCTCTTGACCCAGGGTAGCACTACCTTCTTAAGGCACTTGATGAACACCGTGTTGATTCTGTGGGCCTGTGGGAAGATGAATGGAGGTATAAGATCGCCATCACTAGTGACCACTCAAAAAACACCATCATATTGACTAGACTTTCCGAATCCTCTGCACCGTCTTCAGTATAACACACAAATACTCAGAAATGATCGTATTGGAGCTTCCGGTGCGAATGCCAAGTAGTATATGTTGTGGAGTTATTTCGCAGTGGAGACTTCTATTTGTACTAAATCGGTCCTAAATAGGTTCGACGTACAAAACGTTTGGAACTTGATATAATAGGTATTACGCAGAGTAATCTTGTTGTGGTCGCTGACTACTTTCGTATTCGACTAACTGTCGACTACTGTCGTCCGACATCGACTAGTATTTAGTCATTCTCCCCACGAGGGTATCATGTGGCCCAAGGCCGGTTTAACGTCGGATCTCCGAGCCCGTGGGCTCGGCCAAAAATATAACCTTTGAACCCGTATAAACGGGTTCAGGGTCGGTTAACTCCCAGAACGAGACTCCGCCCTTCGGCGTATCCTCGTTCGGGTTCCTCCCCGCCCGAAGGCAGAGACTTCAACCGTTCAGCCGGTCGTCCGACATCGTCTGACCCTCGTTTCTCTTACTACTCCTACTTATTATAGGTGGGAGAGTCTATTAACTATAGGACAGGTGTGTTTCACCATAACAGTATAGCAAGCCGTTTCCAAATTTCTGGCGGAGTCAATTGCGTCTTTTTCTCACAGACGGTGCCCAACTGACCCTACTATACTGTGCAGTCGACAGAATAAACAAACAACGCACATGCGCAAAATTAAAAATATAAAATGGCGACAATTTACCCATCGCATCCTATACGTTGGAATTTCGAACCGAACCCATTTATTTAGTCCACGAGGGTAGATTGTTCTAGTTCCACATGCCATGTCTTTTCTGGAGATCTCAGTTTCTGTTATTTCCCTTCAGTAACTCTCCAAGATTTTATTCACCTCTGCTGTGGCCAGATATTGAACTCACAACTCTTGGGTCAAGTCACTGGATTAATTCAACAAATGTTTTTATCCACTGCGTTGTGGATAACGTCGTGAAGATGACAATAAAGATGAGGACAACAGTCCGAACAATGTAAATAGTGTAAATAGTTACAATACCTCATCTCAAAAATATAGACATATCCTGAATAAGGCCGGAGCGAAATGCCGTGAATATGACAAGAAAGCTGGGGACAACGGTCGGAGTAATGTAAATATTGTGAATAATTACAATAGCTCATTTCAGAAATACAGATTCTGAAGAAGGACAGAGCATACAACGGTCGAAACGTCGTGAACATGACAATGAAGATGAGGACCAAAGACCGAACAATGTAAACAGTGTAAATACTTACAATACCTCATCTCAGAAATGGTGACAGATTCTGAAGAAGGCCAAAGCATACAACGGTCGAAACGTCGTGAATATGACAATAAAGATTAGGACAACAGTTTGAACAATGTAAATAGCCACTGGTTGACTGATTAGTTTTTACGGCTTATCAGTACTTCGCAGCTTATTTAAAGCCAGAAAATATTTTTAGATTGTAAGAATTTGGGTGGGAGTTAATGGTTTAGTGATGCAGATCTTACTAATTAACCCACAGCGGGGGGAAGAAAAGAGGTGGATCCATACCTTTCCCAAGGGTATTTGCGCATAGATGAATATAACGAACCCAGCTGTGACCGGAACTCGACTCTCTGATTAAAAATGCTGACCCATTATACCACACACACACACATCGAAGCTTACAGCACATGGTATTCCTAAGTGGTCAGCTATCTACGTAATGACCAGATTCGACGTTGCTTATCTTCAGTGGTCATTCGGGAACCGGTGTTTCAACGTGATATGGTCGTAAGCATGCGATAAGCTGTCTTTTCGCTTCTAGCTTTTTGCCAGATGAAACTTAGGAAATTTGTTAATTGTCTGATGTTTTAGCTTCTTTCAAAAGTATTTGACTTGGGGGGCTTTTTTTTTTTTAGGGAGTTTATTTTTGGTAACCAAGCGTGGGTGGGAGACTGGTCGAGATAAAACATGGATCAGTTCTATTTGTAATTCATTTTTTTATTAGCGACTGAGATTTCTATTTCATATACGATATTGATTATTAAAAATGTTTATTTAACAGCTGGAAACAGGTTTCTGGAGATTGCATGACAACGTTTCCATAAAAATTTTATCTGATCGTCAACTGTTTTTGTTCTTATCACTACCGCCATTTTTATGAAATCATTCTTTTATCTAATTTTGTTTGTCAGAAGCCATTTTCTGCTTATCATTTCTCTTTTTATCTCTCTCTCTCTCTCTCTCTCTCTCTCTCTCTCTTTCTCTTTCTTTCTTTCTGTTTCTTTCTATTTCTCTTTCTTTCTCTTTGTTGCTATTATTCTCTTTATCGTATTCTTTTTTTTTCATTGTTTCTCTCTCTCTCTCTCTCTCTCTTTCTCTTGGTCTTTCTGTTTATGTTTCTCTCCCTATTTCCCCTCTTTCTTGTTCTTTGTGTCTTTCTCTTTCCTTCTTTTTTTCTCTCTTTTTATCTCTCTTTCTATTTCCTTCTCCCTTACTTACTCTTTCTCTCCCGCTTTCTCTCTTTCTCTATACTTTTTTTTCTTTATTACCCTTTCTCTCACATCTTTATTTCTCTTTCTCTCTTGCCATTTTCTTGCTTTCTTTTTGGATTTCTTTCTTTCTATTTCATTCGCTTTCTTTCTCTCGCTTTTTCTCACTCTCTTTCTCTCTCCCTATTTATTCATTTCCCTTTCTCTCACCCTTTCTTTATCTCTCGTTCTTACATTTTCTCACTTTTTTTCTCGATTTCTCTTTATTTCACTATTTCTCTTTCGCTCGTCCTTTTTCTTTTTTCTATATCTTTATCTATCTATCTATCTCTACTTTTTTTTCTGTATTTCTCTTTCCCTTACTATTTCTCTATCTCTCTCTTTCTGTCAATCTTTCTCTTTTGTCTCTCTCTCTCTCTCTCTCTTTCTGTCAATCTTTCTCTTTTTCTCTATCTCTCACTTTCTGTTTATCTTTCCCTTTTTTCTCTATCTCTATTTTTCTGTCTATCTTTTTCTTTTGTCTCTCTCTCTCTCTCTCTGTCTATCTTTCTCTTTTTTCTCTATCTCTCTCTTTCTTTCTATCTTTCTCTTTTTTTCTTTATCTCTATTTTTCTGTCCATCTTTCTCTTTTTTCTCTCACTTTCTGTCTTTCTCTTTTTTCTCTATCTCTCCCCCTCTCTCTCTCTCTTTGTTTATCTTTCTATATGACTCTTTTTTCTCTTCTTTTCTTCTCTATTTCTCTTTCTCTCCCTATTTCTCTCTCTCTTTCTCTTTCCATCTTTCTTTCTCTTTCTCACTTTCTTTCTCGCTCTCTTTTTCCACCATTTTTAATTACTTATCTCCTTAGCAACCATTTCCTTTTTCTTCTAGATTCATTCATTTTCTTCACCCAGTTTACAATATTCTTCTCTCTATTTACATCCTCTTTTCTTTCTCTTTTTTTTTCCTTCATCTTCTACTTTATTTTAATTATCGCCATTTTTTTATTCATCCGTCATTTATTTCCGCCATTTTTTTAACTCTTTGATATTCCTTCATCTTATTTTTCATTCTTCTTCGTTTTCTCTTTTTCTCTCTTTCACCATCTTCGTTTTCATTGTTCTCCACTTCTTCTTTCTTTTTCTTTTTTTTTACCAAATCACTTCTTCTTTATCCTCTTCGTCTCTCCTGTCTCTTCTCTTCTCTCTACCTTTCTCTTCTCTCTACCTTTCTCTTCTCTCTACCCTTCTCTTCTCTCTACCCTTCTCTTCTTTCTACCTTTCTCTTCTCTCTCCCTTTCTCTTCTCTCTACCCTTCTCTTCTTTCTACCTTTCTCTTCTCTCTCCTTTCTCTTCTCTCTACCCTTCTCTTCTCTCTACCCTTCTTCTTCTCTCTCCCTTTCTCTTCTCTCTACCCTTCTCTTCTCTCTACCCTTCTCTTCTCTCTACCCTTCTCTTCTCTCTACCTTTCTCTTCTCTCTCCCTTTCTCTTCTCTCTACCCTTCTCTTCTCTCTACCTTTCTCTTCTCTCTCCCTTTCTCTTCTCTCTACCCTTCTCTTCTCTCTACCCTTCTTTTCTCTCTACCCTTCTCTTCTCTCTACCCTTCTCTTCTTTCTACCTTTCTCTTCTCTCTCCCTTTCTCTTCTCTCTACCCTTCTCTTCTCTCTACCCTTCTCTTCTTTCTACCCTTCTCTTCTCCCTTCTCTTCTTTCTACCTTTCTCTTCTCTCTCCTTTCTCTTCTCTCTACCCTTCTTTTCTCTCTACCCTTCTCTTCTCTCTCCCTTTCTCTTCTCTCTACCCTTCTCTTCTCTCTACCCTTCTTTTCTCTCTACCCTTCTCTTCTCTCTCCCTTTCTCTTCTCTCTACCCTTCTCTTCTCTCTACCCTTCTCTTCTCTCTCCCTTTCTCTTCTCTCTACCCTTCTCTTCTCTCTACCCTTCTCTTCTCTTCTACCCTTCTTTTCTCTCTACCTTTCTCTGTTGTGCGCCAAAGACATAAAATTCTTAATGAACATGGCGTTGTTTTCCAACATCTGTTGTGCCCGGAAATGGGAAAATTCATCAATTCAATACACACAACATAAAACCAACAATATTTGCTTTTATGAATATTTACACTGGCAGATTAAGCATTGGTAAATATTTACCAACTTACAACCGTTTAGATATATTTATGGAGATATGTAAAAC